GTGTGGGAGGCCGCGGGAGCCCCCCGCAGGTCGATTCCTTCCTTCCTTCCTTCCTTCCTTCCTTCCTTCCGTCCTGGACATCATTCAGTGGTGGTCGGTACCCCGGACCTTCGGAAGACCGCCCTTTACACTGCGGAGTTCTGCCGAGCCGTGGCCAAATGTTTGCTGGAAGCTCCTTTGCCTGGCATGGTGTTCGGCATGTCCGACGTGAGTGTGGACCTCTCGGGTGAGCTTGAAAGATTGACGGTGACCTTGTTGAAGTTGCGCCGGAGGTGTGGGCACCCTGGACGGCAGGCCTTTCTCAAAACCCTGAAGGCCCGTGGCTCTGATGCCCGTACGCTGGCAGTGGCGTCTCAGCTCAAGTGCCCTGAGTGCCAAGAGAGCCAGATGAAGGCTCCTGTGCCGCAGGTGTCGCTAGAGAAGGAAGAGGTGTTGTGGCGCACGGTTCAGATGGATGCCTTTTACTTTCGTCATGATGGGCAAGTTCACCACTTCATCCTCTTCATGGACGAGGCCTCCTCCTTTGCCGTTGTTTCCGAGATCCTCGTCCATGACGCCGAGGAGGGTGCCAACATAGTAACCGAGGGTGCGATTGATGCTCTCGAACAGTACTTTGGGTACCCTCTACGACTTCGTTGTGACCTGGAGGGTTGCTTCCGCGGACGTGGCCTCGAGGACTACACTGCCTCGCGCGGCTGAGCTCCAGCAAGTGCCAGCTGAGCGTCACGAAAGCGCAGGTGATGTGGAAAGAGGCATGGGTGTGCTGCGATTGCGCATGGAAAAGTTCCTGCAGAACGAGGTTGTTTCCCCAAGGCGTGCGGCGTACGCCATGACCGCGGCCCGCAACAACAATGCCAGAGTAGGAGGCTATGCTCCTTGCCAGTGGGCTTTCGGAAAGTTCACCGAGGAGCTGGACAACCTGCCGGCCTTGAGCTCCATGGGCGAAACTGGCCATACCATGGAGCAGAACCTGGCTTTGAGACTTCGAGGAGCAAGCGAGCAAGGAGATGAAGGCGAGGGACAAGATCTCTCGGGCTTTGAACACGCGCTCCGTCCCTTCGACGAACTTTGTGCCGGGCGACCTTTTCTACTACCAGCGCTACAAGGTTCCTGTGGACCGACCTGCTCACGAAGTTGTTGACGTACCACGACGCCGCTGGTATGGCCCTGGGCGCGTCTTGGCCGTGGAGACGAAGGTCACCGAGCACGGCACTATCCGGACACCAACGCGCGTGGTCTGGATAGTTCCCCAAAAGCGACTGAAGAAGGTGCACGGCAGCCAACTGCGACACGCCAGTGAGACTGAGAGGGACATTGCGAACGCCAACACCGCGCTGACGCTGCCTTGGACGTCCGCGACTGTGGTCGGCCTCTTGGAGAAGGGCGCTTACGACGACTACACCAACGAGGAAACCCGCGGCCGTTCTGCTTTTGGAACGAGAACACCTGGCCGTGGAAGAAGCAGGAGTCGAGCCCGCTCTGTTCCCCGAGAAGCTTCCCAAGGCGCTCTATAACAACCACCTCCAGTTCCTAGAAATTTGTGGAGAACCTCACGGTGAAGGGCATAGCGCTGCTCTACGACAACCAGCTCCAGTTCATAGACCTTCTGGAGAACCTCGCGGTGAAGGGTCCCTTGCTTCAGGAAAGCTTTCAACTTCGGCAGAAAGTTCCACCAACCCTGCTGGTCAGACCTCAGGAGAGAGAAGTCGCAGTCCAGTTCTCCTCGACCTGCTGGATGAGCTGGCAGGAGCATTGCCTCGTGACGGAGATGCTCGCGTCACCCGTGGAAAGCGGACCACATTGACATGTTCGTGGACACGGGCGAGATGGCAGACTTGGTGGGTTGGTGCAACGACCCACAGAACGACTTTGCCTTCGGCGCAGAGCTGGACATGCCATCCTCTGAGGAAGAGTGGAAGCAGATCCTTAAGAACCCGGCAAAGTTCACTGCCAAGAGCCTCCATAAAGGTGCTGAAGTTTCTTGGGCAAAGCTGTCTGCTGAGCAAAAGAGGCCATGGCTGCTGCGAAGAACCTCGAGATCGAAGCCTGGTTGAAAGAGCTCGTCTGCGAGAAATATCGAGGTGTGGTCCCTGCGTCCCGACTCATGAAAATGAGGTGGGTTTTGACCTTCAAGGTTCTCGATCACAACCCCTCCAAAATCAAAGCTAAGGCACGCTTGGTTTTACTCGGGTATAGTGATCCCGATCTCCTCGAGCTTCAGACGTCATCGCCCACGATGACTCGCAGATCGCGACAACTGCTTCTGAATCTGTGCACGCATCAGCGTTGGCGTCTTAGACTCAGAGCGAGAGGGCGACCGGAACGTTTTCACAGTTCCGGCGCCGGAGCTTTCGCAAGCTCTGGGGATAGCGCCTGGAGAGGCTGTGCGCCAAGTCAAGGCGGCGTACGGGCTCGCTTCGGCCCCGAGAAGCTGGTGCCTGGAGGTGTGCGAAGTGCTGGGCAAGATCGATCTTCGACAACTGAAAACCGACCCCTGCGTGTGGGTTCTGGGCTCTCCCGAGTGCAACGATCCGCAAGGCGCTATGAGCGTCCATGTGGATGACTTTCTTCTGATGGGAAATGACAGCAACCCTGTGTGGCAGAGTGTGATCGAGGAGTTCAGCGCCGCTTTTGAGTGGTCGCCGTGGGAGTGCACCGTTCACCCACTGCGGCGTGCTGGTAGACCAGCTCCCCGGCTACAGCTGTTCGCTTTCGCAAGCTGACTACTGCCTTTAGCTGAGGCAGGTGGACCTCGAGGACAAGCCCTTCATCACAGATGGAGAGCTCAGGCAAGGGCATGGCTTGGCGCCCTGCAATGGCGCGTTCAGCAAACGGCGCCGCAGCATGCTTCGAAGCTCTCATGGCTGCAGTCGGCGCTTCCCCAGGGAGGTAAGGACGTCTTACAGGGCATCAACAAGCTGTGCCGTGAGGTCTTTGCCCAGAGGCAAGTGGCCGTCTCAGTTCAGAACTTGGAGCCGACCTCCCTGCACGACCTGGTGATGGTGGCCTGGGCAGACGCGGCAGTCAGGAACCGACCTGACATGTCTTCGACTGGTGGTTACATCGTCGGCATGGCCAACCCGAACTTGCTGCTTGGCGAGAGATCGCCCGTCAAGGTGCTCGCCTGGCGCTCTGGCAAGCTTCCGAGGATCGCAAGGAGCAGTTTGTCTGCTGCGATCCAAGCTCTGTCAGAAGGAGAACAGGAGCTGATGGCGTGCCGCCTTCAGTGGGCGGAGCTTCTGGGACATCGTCCTGATCTTCGAGCTCCTTGGAAAGCGGCTGCCCTTGTTCCAGGTGCCCTCGTGGTCGACGCCAAGTCGGTGTACGATGCTGCTCAGAAGGGCGATACGGCCTCCGCTCTGTTCAGCATGAAGGAAAAGTACGCAGCCCTCGAGTTGATGGCTGTGACTGAGGCCATCTCTTTGTGTAACTCCGTGTTAGCTCCGAGGCCCAGCTTGCCGACGGCATGACGAAGGCCCAAGCTCAAGACTGCGTGCGTAGCTTCCTTTGCAACCGCCAGTTGTGGTCTGTAAAGTATGACCCGGATTTTGTGGCGGCCAAGAAGAAGCAGCAGGGCGGTACGGTGCCCATGCATGCCTCCGCTCCTTTTGGGGCATGTGAATGTCTGAGCATTAGCTGCTTGTGCAAATCTTCTTCGGCATGCCTGTGCACTAGATGTGTCTGCCGCAACCTGTTTTCCTCTTCATAGGGGCCCCTTCAGCCTTTACGGTTTTAGCAACCTTGCAGCTACGGACGTTCACTTTGTGGGAGGCCTGAAGCACCCTCTTTGGAGTAACCCTGCGTGATCGAGAAGACACGCGTGAGAAAAGGCGTCAGGGTGCGTGTTTGAGCTCTGCAGTTGCGCTGTGTGTTAAGGGTGCTGCCAGTCTCCCTCCGAGAACTGCGGCCGACCCGGCAGAGAGGGTGAGCAGTATTTTCCCATGACTGCTGGACAGTGTGTGGTAAACTGCTTGAGCCTGGCATGGGGCCTGCGACAAGGCGGAGGAGGAAATGCTAGGAACAAGCCATCGCTTGCCACCGGTAACACCTATTTTTTCGGAAGGGTAAAGGGGGGCCGCCAGCAGGCCTAGAGTTTGGAGAAGGTGGGAGCCTGGAGAGAGGCGGAAGTAGCTGGAGCGGGAGCCTTGGAGAGGGCATAGGGAGAGCTTGACATCTATGGCGGGAGCCAGGAGCAAGCCATAAGAAAAGGGCAAAGAGGCAAAAAACGCCGTCACGGGGAACTGCGCAAAAGAGCTTGGCAAAAGAACATAAGTGATCTGGTCGGGCAAAAAAAAATGTTTGGGCCTGGGACAATGTTTAATGAAAAAGAAATGTGCGGGGGAGCTTCGAGGGCGTGAATGAGCCTGCAGGCAAGCGGGGCAGCGCTTCCAAGCAAGTCTTAAAACCTGCGAACGATCCCTCAAAATTGTCTTGAAGGAGGCCTGGGGGAATGTGTGCTGGAAATTTTGCCCGGGTGAGGTGTGAGGATGGGAAAAACGCTGATGCAAGGTCAGATGAAAGGCTTCATTAAGCGCTCGCCCCGCCAAACCGGGCTCGGCGGAGCTGATTTCCGGTCATCAGAGATGGCTTCCCCATTACTTGAGAATGGTGGTAGAAACAGATATTGAACCTTTAACTGCTGCTTTTCTCACTGGATAGGATTTTTTAAAGGCTGCTGGTCTGGTAACGGTGACACGAGGTTGCTTGAATCCATGCTCCAAACAGCAATCTCAACAAGTTGTCGTGCTTGAATTTGTGGTCTGAGGCCTGGCTTGTGTTTCCGGAGTAACGCCCTCCATCATGGGCTTCGTCGCCGCAGCCTTTGCAGACCTTTCGTGCCTTGCTGATGGTACTTAACCATATGATGTGAAGCACGTACTCAGACAGCAGACATCAGAGGGAAAGCAGGCCAAGCCCATGTTCGAAGTAACAGAAAATGTTCGCACCCTCGCACCTCTCCTTGAAAGAAAAGCTGTTGTGGGCCTAAGCTGCTGAAAAGTATTTTGTACAAGCTTGCCGTAGCTTTCTTCTCAAAGCACTGCATGTGAGAGCTCTTGGTATTGAGACCTCAACAGTATGGAGATTGCTCACGTGCTGACATCGAAATCGCATTCGGCCTGTTGTTGCAGAGGTGGTTGCAGCCGGGCTGCGCATCCCGGGAATGTTGGATGTCGCATCTGGAAAATGCCTGTCGCGCAGCAACCACGAGGAAGCCTCAGCAGGGAACAGTGCGATCAGCCTGGATTAAGGTCCGAAAGATGACGTTGGGGTCTCATCAGCATGTCATTGCTACGATGTTTTTTTCAGGCCCTGCTGTGTTGGTGTAAGATGCTGTAACCGTAGGGCGCGTGTGGCTGCTGAGGCTCCCAACTTGCCTGCTGGCCTGTGCATGCTGCTGACCGCAAGCTACCTTGGGAAGGTTGGTGCCGCATCTTCGAGGCGGGCTGTGCGCTGGTTATGCGAGAGGTCAGGGCGCCGATGAGCGACTTCCAGTTCCTCACCATCTGTGGAGCAGACCGCTAAGCTCTGCAAAAAAAGAGAAACAAAATTGGTTTAGGACATTTCTTGCACTCAGGTCGCCCAGATGCTGTCCCTGCTTGCTGTGTGCCTTTGCAGCATGGCGGCTTGCGGCGGGGGGCTCAGCTGGAGCCGAGCTCAAGACCAAGGCTGAAGCGGAAGCGGCGCTGTGTGGGTTACCTGCTCCTCGCGGCCTACCTTCTGTGCGAGCCTCGAGACATCTCGAGACTTGCGAGACTCGGGGAACTTTGGGAAGCGACATAGACTCAGCATCGCTGGCTCAGCGCCAAGAGCAAGTGCAGTCCCGGATGGCGTGCCACCAATTGAGCCATTTTCTTTTTCTCATGTCAATTCTGCACGCAGCAATGTAGCCTTTGGCATTCTTTTGAAGTTAGCAGAGCCGTTTGCTCTCAGCTCATTATTTTGAGCAGATATGCTTGTTATCCACACTCGTCTATGCAATTTGTTGTTCACGGCACCGCGCTACACGGATGCCGGAATCACAGCTCGGCCAACTTTCAACTTGCCTAGCTGGCATTCCCGACCGTCTTTGCATCTACAAGCCCCACCTGCGTAAAGCAGTCTACAAGGCATAGGGCCGTCATACTGGTTGCCCCGAATGACGCTAGCTGTGTGCGTAAACCAAGGCAATGGAAACTCAAACGAGCTTCTGCGTCTTGTGTCTTGTGCGATGACAGCTACACGACCTTGCAGTCGGTGAGCTTACACAGGTGCATTGTGCTCACTCTAGCGCTCTTCTACATCCAGAAGCTCTGAGAGGGAACTTGGGGCTTTGCAAAAACAGTGCTCGGTACAGTCTGGGCTTTAAAAAGCCGTTCCTGTATGGGAAGGCAAAGACAATTCAGGGAGTGTTTCTGCCCAGGATCTCTTGGCTCGAAGCTTTGGCCATGAAGTGGCCGTCGGTGTTGTTTGTCTAGCTTTTGTCTTTCGTGTGAAGAAATGGCCGCCTTCGTTGTTGCCATGCTGCTTCTGCTGCAGGTCCGTGCAGAACCTGTGATGCGAAGAAGCTCCGTTACTGAGTCCAAGCGCCAGCCCCTCATGCGCTCTCAGAAGGAGACCAAAGATGCAAAGGTGGAAAGTACACCGCCAGCTCAGCGTTCCCGCCAGCCAATTTTCACATCCTTAGAAGAGACCCAGCCTCAGGCCGAACTTGACGATTGTGGCCTGGCTCCTTGGAGTTCATGGAGCATTTGCACGAAGTGTGGTGGCCGTCGCGTTCGAACTCGTGAAGCCTTGGGTGTCTTGGCTGAGTACACATCGTCAGATGCTCCCGAAAGCAAACACCGCTCAGACATGAAAATCAACTTTCGCTCTGGAGATGGTCATGTTCGGTGGTCTGGGCAGCTGCTGGTGAAGAACGCAGGGCGCTATGCCTTTCGCGCTGAAGAGACCCTGCGATCTCTGCAGATTGGGGCGGCTCTGCGGGCTCAAAACACCTCCGACGGCGAGTGGGTCCGTTGGCTTGCCAAAGGAGCCCACTCGCTCCAAGTCGAGGCTGAGGCTGACCAGCCAATTGCAGGGGCGAAGCAGCTTTTGCAATATAGGGGCCCAGATACGGAGGGCAAGCTGCAGGAGATATCCACTGCGGCATTGCGACATGCTGTGTTAGGCGGGGTGTGCCAGAGCCGTTCTGTGCAGTCCCAGCCTTGCCCAGCTTGTAGCGTCGACTGTGCTTGGGGCGACTGGGCTGACTGGTCGGCTTGCTCGCGGACATGTGGCCATGGGTCCTCAGAGCGCCTGCGCTCCGTGGCCACACGAGCCTCACAAGCTGGCCGGGCCTGTGAGGGCAGCTCGTCGGAGCAGCAGAGCTGCCACCTCTCCGCTTGCAGCTTCTGGTAAGGCAACGAGGCAGCGATGGGCAGCGCAGCAGCGACACCTCTCGAGGAACAAAGGCTGCTCATCCTGCTCGTTTTCATAGCAAAAGCAAGGCAAATCTTCAAGCGATTGCAAGCGGCAACAGAGTCACAACCCTGGCCGCAGCTGTTAATTAGCTCAGATTTGCTTGATCATATGTTCCAGCTGACACGTTCTGTCCAGCAACCTACTGCTAACGGCAATAACACTCTTTCCAGCTACGCAGGGAAATCAACCGCCGCCGCCATGTAAGCAGCATGCGTAAACTGGTTTCCGGGGAAGACTCGGAACCGCAATATATCCCATGTGCATGGAGTAGCAGTAGCAAGTAGCTCTGAGCAGCTGTCCAGGCGCTGATCCCTGGAGTGGTGTTGAGATGTTAGACGAATTCCGCAATTGTCATGCAATGGTTTGAACAGCTTTATTCACCTTAAGTTACTGCAATGCAAACGGCTTGCCTCTCCAAACGTCTCTCGATGTCACAGGATGGCTTCTGAGGAGATGACCATTGAGCGTTCTACCCTCCGGGAAGCCGTGCTGGAGGCACAGGAAGCACACAGGAAGCACTTGGGATTTGGGGACATTGGGGATGATCCTGGGAGGCGCAGGCGGCCATCGTCCAGGACGTCAGGAACCACTTCTCCGCGGGTGCCTCAAGCAGCTTAGAAAGCAGCTTCCAAAGTGAGATCTGAGGCCATGCGCGAAGAGCTGCCAGCTGAGCTGCAGAAGGCAGTGCAGGGCAGTCACCAGTCTTACAGTTTCGCGGAGCTTTGATTACCCGTTGCTAGAGATCAACTGCTCGATCGCTTTTGGCTCACCAGTCTTGTTACCGACAGTAGGGAAGCAAGCGTTCCAGCATCATGGTGCAGATGTGGGAGATTGTCGGGGGTGCGGACAAGGGCGGAATCATAGTCAGGCCCATATGTACCGCGAGCATGAATGTGCAGGTTTGCTTCTGCTCACGATGCCGCCAGGGATGGTGAGAATACCAAGTCCAACCAGCTGGACGATCGCCTTTCCACAGGGGCGCTCGTGGAGGAGGTGGAGCTGAAGGGCGATCGTTTGCACTACCGGCTGGTCATGGGCACCGGCCCTATGGATGGCTGGGCAACCTGGCCGCCCCTTTCGCACAGTACACACGATTGCATTGTCAAAGCTGAAGCCCAAAAGCCCAAGGTGAGCATCAAGTTGAAGGACAAGGAATTAGCTGTCAAGACTGACAAAGCTCCGCCCCCGCCTCCAACCGCAGTCGGCCCTAAGGGGGAGGCTGGGACATGCCAGGATGGACAGGGCATGGTAGGATGGTCTTGTCTATGACGTTGCTATGACGTTGCTGTGAGGCTCCGCTTCCCATCGGCCTTTTTTTCCCGGGCCAAGGCTCCCAGTACGTCTCTCGCCAAGACTGTCGAAAGAAGAAGCAAACTGTTTCTTAAAAGTAGCCCAAAACCGTGTTAGAGTTTCTGTGAGTTTCGCTGTGAGGTGAAGATGATGGAGAGGGTCTTGGAGATTGCTGCGGTGAAGGAGATGGTGGAGAAGTCCAAACCCATTTTGGGCTACGACATCCTGGACATCTGCTTGAACGGTCCTGAGGAGAAGCTTGAAGAGACACGCTATTGCCAGCCGGCTATGTTCATTGGCGGACTTGCGGGCCTTGAGAAGCTGAAAGTGGACAAGCCGGAGGCCGTGAAATGAACATTTTGGTTTACATGATGTCTTCTTTCCGTTGCTTGGAGCAAGGCTGTCTCTCGGGCATCGGTCATGGCTGGCCTCTCTTTAGGCCCGTGGGTTCCAGGCTCAAATGTACAGCGTTCAAGATACTCCCTGGCTGCCAGGTGAGTACACCGCCCTGTGTGCCGCGGGCGTGATGACCTTCGAGGATGGCCTCAAGCTGGTGAAGCTGCGGGGAGAAGCCATGCAGGAGGCTGCAACGCCTGGGCCTTTTGGAGAAATCTGGGTGAAGTCAAAAGCCAAGCCGCCAAGCCAAGTTACGAGAAAGGTCGGGTGCCAAGAAGCAGCTGATGCTCTCCGTTGCCGGCTTGGAGCGCTCCAAGTTGGATCCACTGTGCCGCGAGGCGGCCGCCAAGGAGGTGCCGCCAACGCTTTCGTTTTTAACAGCATGGACCACACTTCACACTTCCCTCACCGCTCTTTGCTCTGCAGGATGGAGGGGTTTGCTCGGTGGCAAATTGCCTCTTCCCTCAAGGCTATTCCATTGGTGGCACTGAGAAGGCTGGCGAGCTGTTATAGCTGTCCAGCTGCAGCTGCATCTGCATCTGCTGTAGTCTTTTCCTTGGGAAGTTTGGTTGAGGCCATCAACACTCTCAAGGAACTGGCGGAGAAGAACGGTGCACTGCAAGCCCGGAGCTTGCTTGCCGGATTGCTGTTTTGCAGCACATGCTTTTGAAAAACAAGGCGAAGGTTCTGAAGACGGCAGGAGCCTTCCACACGTCTCTGATGCAGCCGGCTCAGGACACCAAGCCATGGAAGGTCGTCCAAAATCTGGAAGAATCGCCAGCTCCACATTTTCGTACAGCAAATTTAGTGCGAATGACCTTGTGGGAACATCGTCTACAGCCACAACGTGACATCCACCTTCTTGCTAGAAACACCCTCTTGGATTCCCTTGGTCCTCATGAACAGTCGTCTGCCGCTTTCTAAGGCGAGCTTAGCCGTAGTACAGAAAAGGGTTGTGCAGCTGTAACGCGAGGACTCCCTGGTTTGCTTATCAATGGCTGGACATCACACTTGGGCTATATAGAATGCTTGTGGCGGTGTTTTGCGCCTTGTTCGGGATGGCTTAGCAAGTAGGACTTGTTTACCCGACGTGCGGTACGGAGAGGTCAGCCAGCATGACTCTCGATTTGTTGTAGTTGCTTACTCTGTTCCGTTTCGAATATTTTCCGAAGGTGGCGCGCATGCCTTTTCTTGGTAATTACGGTCTTCAACCCCTGGCACTTTGAGCCCTGCGACACCTTAGATTTTCGGCCTCAAAGACTTGACATTCTCCGCAGCAGCTTGGACTTTCTTCCCTCACCTGGCTACATGGCGCAAAGAAGGGCTCAGATTAAACATAGTCCTGTGCACATCGCTCTTCCCTCTTCTTGTCCACGCGCCTGGCCAACAGGTTGGATGCTTGAAGCAAAGCCTTACTTCCCGGAGGTGAGCACTGCATGAGGCAACAGAACCCCGCACATAGGCCAGCCCACCCAGTAGTCAATGACCAATCGTCAGGGCAGAGGGGTCGAGAGTATCCGAATTTCACTGCGGAATGTGACCTGCACTTATGGTTGAGCGCGCTCTGTCCTTGCTGAATGAAGGTCTGCACGCTGTGATTGTTCTGGGCCATCCAAAAACGAGGAAATGCCTGGTCGAGCTTGTCCACCAGATCGGCTATATGTCCTCTTGTTTGGGTCTCCAGACATGCATTGTGTGGGGCTCGTCTTAGGTCTTGCCCTCCGGATCCTAAGACAGCTAAATCCTAGAGTCGAAACACCTAAACAAGCAACCCCAACCACGGACCCCCCCAGACCCAAAACAACCTCCAAACCTAAACAAGCCCAAACTCTAGGCCCCAAAGACTTAGACCCTAACCAGCCCCTAAACTTGTGCCTGCGCCAGCTTCAGGACAAGCTCTCGGCAGCCTTGGAAGAAACGCTCCCGAACATGAAGCCACCGATGCACACGGTGCCCTGTAACGGAGCTTGGGCTCGGTAGATTGCGTCAGCTTCGGCCGATCCATTGTCCAGTCTTAGCCCAAAGCTAGGGATTTGGGAGGATGTGGGGTGATGGGGAGATGGGCAGGTGTGGATGAACGCTTCGGCCCAGCCGATCCGCCCAGGAACGGATCCCAAGGAGATCGTGGCCCTCCTGAAGAGGATCGGGGAGAGAGATTGCCTAAGACTTTGGACCAAATCAGCTTTGCATTGGCCCAGGCAGCTCACAAACCCAGTTCTTTGGGATGATTCCGTCAATGCTATACTGAAGGAAGGTCTCAACGAGCTACTTGGAACGTAAGAGTTGCCTGTTCCAGGCCTTGACTTACTTTGAACCCAGCGCTGGCTTAGGTTCTACGAGGTGGGCCCCATGAAGCAGATCAAAGCCATGATGAAGCGCATTAACCAAACAGTACTGGACTCGGCCACACAAAGCTTCGACAGTTCTCAGCTCTTCCTTGGGGGCTCAGCTAGGCCTGGAAAGCCACGACGAACGTGGAAGTCTGACCCTTCGCGTGAGGGCTGCCAAGTGAAGTGAAATGCCACGTAAGAGATGAGGGTGGAACTAGGTCAAAACAGACCTTTCTTCAACCCCCCCTCTTCTGCGAGGCTTTGCTTTGCTTCCTTCATCCAAAACAAGCCAAATAAGTTACCAGTTGCTTTGCTACGGGGGGCCTCGCACTTCCCATTTTGTGCTTTTGGAAGACTGGGTGTTCCCAGCAAAAAAACGTCCGAGAGCATCGCTCTCCGGATCAGAGCTCAGGGCACCGCAAAGCCATGCCGAACCAGGGCCTGGTGTGCCGCACACGGTGGACAACACGACCACATATACCGCCACACGTAGGTGTGTGCACTATCTTTTCTCCTACGCAAAGGCGTGAAACGGGCCATGAGGGCGCGGGGAGCCAGATAAAAAGGATCACTTTCCTATGTGCCTTGACTTCCAGCCTCAGTGCTACTGTTGTGCGTTCATTTCACGAGGCCTTGGTGCCCTTGATGGCCAGAGCCTCAATCCGAAAGAGATATGTGACGTGATCTAAAAAAAGGAGTGAGCATGGTTACATAGGTTTACAGTTTACATTGTCATCAGACTTTCCAGCTGTCTGAGGATATCCTGCAAGAGCTTCGCCGCGATGCCAGGACCTTTTGAGCCCTGGAGCCTCTCGAGCTCCATCTCTGCGGCCGAATGCCATGCAGCTGCCAGGACAAGTCTCCGCTCCTCTGGTTCGCTGCAGCTAGGCCCGGCACAGCCGCGCAGCCCGGGTGGTGTCAGTCGCTTGCCTCACAATGCCAGGCAAGGATCGAGAACGGCAGGACTGCCATGGCCTGCCATGGCCAATCTCAAAATCGCTTCAACTCTGCTCTCAGGAAACCAAAGCGGTGAACCCGCCAAATCACAGCAGGAGGGGAGGGATGCGTTGGTGTTGTGCAATTTAACGAAGTCTCGCAATGTTCGTGCACATCTGTGTGCCGGCTCTCAGTAGCACTAGACACGCTCCACCAGAGTACTGCACGCGAAGTCAGCCCTCCAAGCACACGCAATTTTCCATCCACAAGCGTTGTCACCTGCAACTCAAGAGGGCCCTCTGGAACCAAAATGGATTGCGACATCGCAGGTTCCAAAGGGATTGCAGCTCGAGAATCCGACCATCGCAGACTGCCAGGTTGGCTTGGAGCGTTTCAGCGGCAGCTCGATAAGACGGTGGCACTCTTCGTTCTTGCGGATCAGCTCATCCCGAAGGCGCTCAGCCTCAGGGCTCGTTATGTCACGACTTGAGCGTCTCGTGTGGAGTTGGTGTCCTGGCTCGAACTTGACGTGGAAGAAGTCGTCGTGGAAGACGTACAGTAGCTGAGAAGGTCCAAGTGGTTCTCCTGGCCACACACAACCACAGTGCGATCATCAAGACCATGACCAGAAGGATCATGATGGCAGCGAACCAGCGGTAGTCAACCACCAACACCGTGACCTCGTCAGAGTCGCCGAGGCCCTCGGCGGTCTCAAGCTGGCTCGCCAACACTGCTGCCGCCAACACTGCTCGAGCTCGCTCGGTGTCGTCGCACAAGCTCTTGTAGTAGTGTCGTCGAGAGCAGAGCCGCTGGCCAAGCTCAGGGTGATGAACTGGTTTGTTGCAACCTTGGAGTCGGCAGCGAACAGCCTCCTCGTTTTCAGCTTCTCCGCGGTCACGTCGTGGAGGTACAAACCGTCCTCGACTTCTGCTTGCTTGGTCTCGGGCTTGACCTTCTTGGCTGCAACCGTTGCCTCGTCGAACTTCAAGGAAACCACTCCTCTGGCGAAAGCTTCCAGGCGCAGGGCTCGAGCACTGGCTTTGGTGAGCTGCTGGGAAATCTTGCACCACCTCCAGTGGCCTCCCATGGCCTTGAGACGCTCGTTTGTGCCAGAGAGTTCGATGGCACTTCGCCTATCAGACAACTTCAAGCCAGCTGACATGCTGTTGGCAGCGTCCTAAAAGGACTTGGCGTCGGTCACCACAAAGCTGCTAGTCTGTCTCGCCAGCTCGTCGCCCTACGGGTCAGCGTTTGGGAAGAGCATCAAGTGCCAGCAAGCTCGTCCGCTGCTGCAGCTGCTGCCTGTGTCTCTGCCGCAAGAGAAGACCTGCAGACTCGCTGTAGGCGTCGGGAAGACCAGTCCACCACTGTGAGTCGGAAAGGCTTTGCGCGTCCTAGTCACAAAGATGACGTATCCTTTTTGGGGGGAACCGTCAGCTTGGACAGCTCCCCGTGGTAGTTCACCTCCAGGCGGTAGCAGTCCACAGCCTCCCTGGCAAAGCGCAGCGCCTGGTTGCCCTCAAGAAAGTCATTGACGGTGGGGTTCGCCGCTTGAAGAAGGGACATCGAAGCTGCCAGCGTCGGCGCGCACTGGGTGGCCGGCCATGCCAGAGCTCCAATGAGAGATCGGAGTTTGGCCGTCTCTTTGTCTTCCAGCGGCTCCATTGTTTCCTGGACTTCTCAAGAGTAACTGGTGTGATGCTGTGAACGTAGCTCCGAAGCGAAAGGGCTACCGCGCCCAACCCGAAGCTCTGCTCAACCTGGACTCTGCAGAAAACCGGCTTGTAGTCAAAGTCGATGGCAACAACCATGCTCTGGCCATCCTTCTCGAAGACACGGTAGTCGTCGTCCTCCGCAAGGGCTGCTCGAGTGCTCAAGTAAACACACCTGTCAAGAATATCATGAAGAGAGCTGAGCTTATTTTGGCCAACACGGTCTGCTGTTGCATACCGCTGCTTTGGTGCACGAACATTGCCGAAGGCGGGCTTAACCGTGAGACGTGCTAATCTCTTGCGCGTGTCCCCGTTCGGCGCAGCAAACAAGCGGATGTCCTTGTCCAAGTCAGCAGCCTGAAGGAAAGTGGTTTTCACATCCGCGCTCCAACGGCGCCATCCAAGTTGGCTGCGCAGGAGGAGGATCAGCTGACGACCCACCTTGGATAGCGTGGGTGATTCTGTGTTGACTTTGCGAGAGACAACGTCCACATGTTTGAATCCTTGCAAAATCACCCCGGCGTTCGCCTTGCGCTCGCCTTCTTTGCCCTTTGAGTAAGAAGCGAGCCAGAACGGCCTCCCCGGGTTGAACTGTGGTGTGTCGGCGGGTTGTCACGCCTGGTTCAGAATCCAGGGCTCCAGCGCATCCTCCTTCGCAGAGTCAAAAAAGGACTGTTGTCCTCCTCGTTGACGTCGGGCATGGTCCAACTGTTGCTTATTTGTGAGGTGAGAGGAGGAAGACCATCCAACTGCCTTGGTGGGCTCCATGAGATTTCGCGACCATCTCCTCCTTCAGCGTGTCGTGTTTCGGCTTGAGGTTCTGCGTGTGGTTCGGCTCAAGGTTCTGCGCGTGAGGTTCTGCGTGTGAGGTTCTTTGCGCGTGGCTCGGCTCAAGGTTCGGCTTGAGGGTTATAGTACTTGGGGTGGATCCACTGCCATCGGTGCCGAGGATGCGCCCTCTCCAAGCTTGTCCAAGTAGTCCCACGCACGAACCGAGCCATGACCGGAACGGTTGCCTCACTGGCTGGAGGCGGCGGGCACGCTCAGAAGGAAAGTTCAGCACGAAGTTGCTCCGGGGCAGCTCGTGCCAGACTGGTCCCATGGGCCACCCAGATGACATCTTGCTTGTTGGCGCGCTCCTCGATGGCGCAAACGGGCTGGTCCTCGCCGTCGTCCCGCTGGAGTGAGCTTGCTGCCCTTGTTGTCAGGGGTCTGGGCTCGGAAGTAGTACACGTAGGAGCCGACCTGAAAAGAAGCTGGATTTTGAGGTCCTCGCGCAAGAAAAGAAGCGCGCAGAGCTTGGTCGGAGTTTGCCTCGTGGAACGCTTTGGCAGCCAGTGCTTGTTGATTCGCGGCTTGGGCATCATGATCGCCAGCTGCAGGGTTGAAAGGCCCATCAGAAAGACCGTGAGCAGCGGGAAGAGCGCCAAACACGATAGAAGACGGAGAGGAACCGTGAACAGTGCGCAGTCGATTGCGTTGCTCTGCGGCGTAGTTGATGGCTTTGTCCACGTCCAGGCTGGGGTCCTCGGAATGCACTCTGGCCAACGTAGTGCGTCGAACTGCGTGAGCGCGCTCCATGCTGCCGAGCTTGTAATGTGCATCGCGCGGCGCCGCAACCAAGCGGATTCCACGACCGTCAGCCCAGGAAAGGAAGGCTTCACTCATGCGACTGCCACTGGCGTCCGTCTTTATGCAAGATGGCGTGCCTGCCCAGCGGATCCAAATGCTCTCGATCAAAGCGATCTCGGTGTCGGGCAGTTCGTCTTGGGCACGAGCAAGTTGTTCGAACCTCGAAATCTGGTCCATAAGGGCCAGTGCTGAATGCTTCGTGCCGTGCCATCGTATGAAGAAGGAGTCCACAAGAAGAACCTGGCTGAACGCAGTCGTGGTGTTCACACGCCAAAGCAGAAGAAAAATGCTGCTCGCGCGCAGAGCACTTGTACTCCGTAGCAGCTTGCAGCATCTTGCTGCCAAGGCGGCTTGCTCGAACTGCTTCCTGAAGTCGATCTCGGCCCTGGGGTCCAAGTTGTTTGTGAAGCTTGGCAACGGTCAGGATGTTAGAGTGGCCAACCTTCCGAATCAGGTCGCGGTTGAGAGCCTCGACTGCGTGCTGACCATCGCGAACAACCTCCGCGTCGTCCATCACCATGATGGCGGCTGCCTGTCGCCTTGCCCACGCTTCTTCCAAGTCGCGTTGGATCGCCATGGAAGCCTTGTCCACGAAGCCAGCCTCGTAGTTTTGCATGTCCTTCAGGGCGTTCGATTTGCCAATCATCTAGACATGAGGGACTCGGACAAGCACATGAAAGGTTCATGGCGTGGAACTAAGGTAGCGGAAGTCGTCCTGAGCAGGGTTTGTTTTCGAACCGGGCCCCGTGTGCCATGATCATCCATTGCAGTAAGGCCAGTGCGGCACCTGTCCACTACAGCGTCAAAGATGCCATCGCCCTGCAGCTTGTTGATCGGCGGGGTCTGCCACGTCATCGACCTTCGCGGGTGCTCGAT